AGAATCTGCTAGTCTGCCCCTTTCCTAAAGAATCTCTGCTAGCCTGCCCTTTCCTAAAAGTATCTCAAGTTAGCCTGCTCTCTTTCCTGAAGAACTTGCTAGCTCGCTCTCTCCCAAAAGAATCTCTGTAAGTTCTGTCCTAGGTTTTATTGGCAAAAAGGGACACTTTAGGTGGAAAACCATCAAGTGACGTGGGTGCCAGCTTTGCCTACAGTCTGGGGTCAAAAGAAAAACGCAGGAAATTGCTGATGTAAGATTGAAAAACTTGGAAAATTTGGTTTGTAAATTTTTGGGTTTGAAAACCATGAGATCCGAATCGGGTGAAACGGGCGCTGACCGGTGCCCTGCTTGAAGTCGGGCAGCTCAGGAGCAGCAGAGATCAGCTGTGTTTCTGCGTTACCTCCTCTCTTACTCGCTCTCGTTCTCTCTCTATCTCTCTCTCTCTCTCTAGCTCACTCCCCCTTAGACCCAAAAACCGAAGCCGACCTCTCGAAGAAGACGCTGGAGTGCGAGAGGATCGAACGTTGTCGCTCGGGGGTGGGATTCCTGCTTTAAAAAAGAGGAAAATTTTTTCAACATTTAGAACACGCGTTGAGTTTCTCCCGATTTCGGGATGCTTCAGGGAATTTGACTCCGAGAAAGCCCAAGAGAGTGACAAAAATTGAGAAAACCGAGAAAGTGGCATCGGTAAGTTTTATTAAAGAGTCCTTGCTAGCGTGCCTTTTCCTGAAGGATACCTGCTAGCTACCCCACCCTTTCTTTCAGCCTGAAGCCGAAGAAGGCTACCAAGAAGACTACGAAAGCGAATCGACTACAGACGGCGGGTGCCGATAGTGAAGCCGGCCAAAAGGTTTGTCATTTCCGGCAGAAACAGAGCTGTCGCGTTCCCTTTAAAGGACTATTGGCGCGGCAAATCCCTGCCAGCCCTCTTCGATTTTGGCACTGAACGGTTAAAGGGGGGCGGTTGAGAGAGAAGCGACTAAGGCTATGGATTTGCCTTCCCGGGGCCTTTAAACCATTTAAAAGCATCGTAAATTTTTCCAGGTGACGTCCCAACCATCGTCGAAGTGGATTGAACTGCGGGTCGCTCTTGAGAGCAGTTCGCGCGAATGAAGAAGGCCACCCAGATTTGCATCCGCACTCATAAGGTAAGTAATTTTTTACTTTTAGGGTCCCGAGCGGGAAATCGGAAGGCAAATCAAGGCGAAAACAGAGCGGGTGGGACTGAATTTTTGCTCGATGGCCCTGAAAATCTCGCTGTTTTCTTCAGGAGTGAGCTAAAGAGAGGAAAAAGAGTCATCGAGCACTACAAGAGCTGGCTGAAGGTAGAGGATGGAAGAGCGCTGAGAGAGTTCGCTGGCTGTTCTTTCTCTGCTCTCTCTCTCTAATCCGCTCACTCTCTCTCTCTAACTAGTTCTCTCTCTCTTTCTGGCGCCTCTTTTCTCGGTCTCCCTCTCTCTCTCTCTCTCTCTCTCTCTCGTTCTATGTTGGTATTTTTAGGTCATCCGAGAAGTGGAGGTCTTCAAAGAAATCTCTACCGTCAACGACAATCTGGAGAAGGAGCGGGATGAGGCTCTGGGAGAATCGATCCGGCTTCAAAATCTGGTGAGCGAGGCTAGCAGAGACGATTTAGGAGCGAGCAGGCTAGCAGCGGTCATTTGGGATTTTTCAGGTCGAGGAGCTCGAGCAGGCCAACGTCATGCCTCGCGAGAGAACGGGACTGGGACGGAGCACCAGGGTGGCGAGTGTGGGGTTTTTAGCCTGCTTAGGCTTAGGCTTAGGTTTAGGCTTAGGCTTAGGCTTAGGCTTAGGCTTAGGCTTAGGATTAGGCTTAGGCTTAGGCTTAGGCTTAGGCTTAGGCTAGGCTTAGGCTTAGGCTTAGGCTTAGGCTTAGGCTTAGGCTTAGGCTTAGGCTTAGGCTTAGGCTTAGGATTAGATTAGGGCTAAGGCTTAGGTTTCTTAGGCTTAGGTCATAGGCTTACTCTGGAGTTTCAGGCCTCCCAACAGACTGAGCCGGTCCAGTTCTCGAACCCCACAGACGAAGCGACAAAATCGAGTGAAAAAGCGATCAAGGAGACTCCTGCCACGCCTACCGTAACTCACAGATGGAACCACTGGCGCTTAATGAACTTATAGATACCCTGAATTCCCGAGCAGAGAGTACGCTGACCCGACTCTTGCTGTTCAAGAATGAGATCCGGACGTTAAAGGAGCGTGTAAGGCGGCTGACGACGGCAAATAAGGTAATGGAGCTAGCAGGGATTCGTTGGGAAAGGCTAGGCTAGCAGAGATTCCTTAGGAAATCAGGACATTTTCTATTTCAGGACCTCCTCGCCACCTGTAGAAAAAATCAGGTATGATGCTCTGCAGGAGTTGGAAGCCAAGCGCAATCGCTTAGCCACCCAGGGAGATGCTGAGGTGAGCCCCCTGTCACTGGGATTGGTCCTTAAAGGACCGCTGAAGGCAAATCCAGCCTCGCTATTTTTGGCCCTTGGCCAAATACAGCTACAGTACCCCTCCCTCTAAACCAAAAAATGCCTCAGGGCAAAGTTCTTCGTTCAGACGGGTCCCGCAACGGCCGGGGGCGTGGGTTGCCACGGCCAAAGGGCTTGGGCTATGGATTTGACTTCAATGGACCTTTAATTTAGACAACGAGGCTCCGGACTGAATGCGAGAGGCTGAGACGAGAGACACGGGCCCTACAGCGGACGGTAGCCATCCAAAACGAGACGATTCGAAATACGCAGAATTCGGAGGAACGGAAGAACGCTACCGTAGGGCTAAGAATCTCTGCTAGCCTGCCTTTTCCTAAAGAATCTCTGTTAGTCTGCCCTTTCCTAAAGAATCTCTGCCAGCCTGTCGAGCCAATTTTTCAGGAAGAAGTGGCAAAATGGCATGAAAAGAGAAGGCCGAGCAGACGACTTGTGATTTTGAAAAAGCGGCTCAAGGTGAATCCCAATTTCAAACTAATTTTAACTTTTTCGAGTTACAGTAACCCTTTTTTTTAGGAAATTGTGGACAGGGAGGATGAGTTGAAGGGCCAGATCGAGAAACGTGACAGAAGAATCGAAGAAATGAAACGAGAGGAAGCTGGTCGGCAAACAGAGTTGGAGCGAATGGAGAGGAGGTCGGGAGAAGTTTTTCTAAAGAATCTCTGCTAGCCTGCCCTTTCCTAGAGTCTCTGCTAGCCTGCCCTTTCCTAAAGAATCTCTGCTAGCCTGTTCCTTGCCTAAAGCACTTTTTAGACTTCGTGATCTCCGTTCCACTAAACCGTAGTCGAGCAGCAGCTCCAACAAGTCGAGCTGCTCAGCGAGCGCCTAAAGGGACTAGACACCCAATTGTCACGCAGTAGACAGGTAGACTCTCGCACCGGTTCATACTTTTAAGGATTTCATCGAAGGCAAAAATCAGACTTTGACAGCGCATGGATTTTGGCCCCGAGTCAGCCAGAACGACAGTACCGCTCTTTGTTAATCCTAAAAATGCCTCGGCACAGCTCTTTCTTCCCAGACGGGTCCCGAGGCAGCTAAGAGGCTGAGAATGGGCTGATTTCCAAGAGCCTAGGTGCTATGGATTTGCCTTCAATGGCCCTTTAAAGTAGCTCTGGGTTCTGCAGGGATCTCTGCTAGCCTGCCCACTCCAATTTATGAGCTTAGGAAAATGCAGCAATCGCGAAGGAGAACCAACGGCTCCAGGGACGCAATTCGGAATTGGTCGGAAAGCTGGAGAATCTGCAGCATAGGCCCCAGAAAATCCACGAGATCGAAACGCAGACAAGTGGGTGGCTTGGGTTTTGCATATGTATTGGGGACGTTTCGACCTGCGCCTGCCTCTCTCGCTCTCTTCGCTCATCCTCTCCTCACTCTCTCTATCTCTCTCACTTTCTTTCTCTCTCTCTTTCTCTTTTTCCGTCTCCCTCTCTCACACTCTCTCTCTCTTCTCTCTCTCTCTCTCCTCTCCTTTCGTTATCTCTCCCTATCTCTCTCACTCGCTCTCTCTCTCTCCGTCTCTAGCTTTCTTCTTCTCTCTCTGTCTTTCTCTCGTTCGGACTCTCTCTCTCTCTCTCTCTCTCTCTCTCTCTCTCGCTCTCTTTTTTTCTTGTATTTTCTACATGTTTCACCACCATCCAACTGAAAATTTATTCCGTTAAATTGGTTCGCCTGGGTTTTGGTGGGGGTTTTTCAGATCATTTTCTAATTCGGCTGAGGTTTTTGGGGTTGTGAATGGCTTTTAAAGGGCTTTTAAAGGTCAAAACTTCGCTTAAAAATCGTCATTTTCCGTGATGTCCTGACTTCCCAAGCCCTTTAAACTTCGGCAAGGGGGAGACACAAAAAATATTTTTTGGATAAGAATTGGTTGCCTAGGGTAAGTATTGGGTTCATAAAGATGGCATTTAAAAAAAAAAATAGGGTACCAGCTAGCTACACGAAAATGGTTTTTGGATGCAAAATAATCACAATATTGACGACCAAACTATTCAAAGAAATTCGTGCTATTAGTTTTGATATGAAAATGCTAGTTGTGCTTTAAAGGGACCAGGAGCGTTCCTGTAGGCCGAATCTCTGCTAGCCTGCCCTTTCCCAAAAATATCTGCTAGCTTGCCATTTCCTAAAAATCTTCAGAAATACCTGGCCCCTTTAAAACAATAAAATACATCCAGACAGCATTAAAAGCTATTTACAAAAATCAATTTGCATATTTGCATTTTTATCTTTTTTTGAGTCGATTTTCACCGCGCCTTCTTGCTCTTTTTCGCTGAAATAGCCTCCTCCGGCTCCTCGCCCTCAGAATCTAAATTTTCTGGGAGCTCAACCTCGTGGCGTTCGACTTTCGGCGTCCGGTCGAACTCCTCCAACTTCGTGCCCATCCCACTTGGACCCGGCTGATCGTGGATGGCCGCAAGGTTTTTCGCCATTTTCTGGGGTGCCACATACTTCTGGTAGACGAGCTTCTCGGGCTTCACCGGCTTGAAGTCGTCGGGGCTGCTGGAGGAGCCTAGCCAGTCCTGTTAGTCTTGCCGGAAATCGACTTTCCGGGTTCAGCTTGGGCTTGGTGGTCGTCTACTTGAGCCCTCCGCTTCCGTTGAACGGCTTGGGCTTGGCGCTCAATAGCTTCGTCCTTGATTTCGACTTCATCTTGAGCATCAGCTGAGGACTTGAGCTCCCGCTTGACGTCTTCGGCAAGGGATTTTGCAGCTTTTGGTCGAGCCTGTTCAGCTTTGGGCTTGAACGGCCGGCCGAACGCCGCCGGCTGAACTGGACGAGCTTGTGGCGCTGGGGCTGAGCTCGACGAAGCTTGAGGCCGGGCCTGAAACTCCTTGATCATGCGCCGGGCTTGGGGAGACTTGCGACACTTCTCGAACTCGTTGCGTTTGATCTGGGCCTGCCGAAGCTAGGGGGCTTTGGCGGGCCTGTTCGGCTTGAACCCTTGAACTTTGAGCAAGGCGCCGGAGACGCTTGAGAAGAGGGTCTGAGCTGCTTGAGCCCCGCCCAAACTCGGCGAAACTTGGGCTCGCATCGCTGCCCGCTTGTTTAACTCCTCGATCTTGGCCATGCGGGCGTCGGTGGCCGCCTTGATCTCGGCGCGCATCTTCTTTACGCGTGCCAGCTTGGCTTCGAGGGCCTTGAGGCGGTCTTCGGGGGACAGGTTGGCGAGGTCTTCGCGCCACGCCATCCGGCTCGTGTAGAGCGATCTTGCGAGGTTCCGGTCTCATTGGCTGGAGCGTCCGGTCAGGTGGAAGGTCGAGGACTGTTGCTTTGGTACTCCTCCTTCGAGGTGGCAGTGTCCCACACGCGCTGCTCGTACGCGTATCCGTCTCGGCGGTGGTACATTGCGAATTCGCCTGAAAAAGAGTAATAAAGTGAGAAAGAGAGAGAGAGAGTGAGAGAGAGACAGAGAGAGAACGAGAGCGAGACACAGAGAGCTAGAGAGAGGGGGAGAGAGAGATAGAGAGGATAGACAGCAAGAGGGAGACAGAGAGAGCGAGAGATAGAGAGGTAGAGAGAGACAGAGAGAGCGAGAGACAGAGAGAGAGAAAGCGCTAGCTAGCAGTGATCCA